AACTTTGAAGAGAAAAAGGGAAAAAATAGTCCCTTACAAAAATAGACCCTTACACAAATAGACCCTTGCAAAAACAGGGTCATCCCTGAAAGCGGATACTCACCTGTGAAATCAGCTGCTAATTGTCAAACTCCAGGACCCTGAGCTTTTCAGCAAAGCCCTCGAGGTTTACAATCAGAATCCTGGACAAGACCTCCCTGACCGAGTCCAGCCATCCCCAGCACTGCCAGGGCCACCACTGACTCCAGGTGTCCCCAAATGTCCCCAAGTGCCACATCTGCGGGCCTTTGGAACCCCTCCAGGGATGGGGACGCCATCCAGCCCTGCAGCTGGGCGAGGGCTGGACTACTCCTTTAGGGAAGGAATTTTCAGGATGTCCAGTCTAAACCCCTGGCACAACTTGAGGCTCGTTCGGTCCCTGTTCCCTGCGACAGAGCCCGACCCCCTCTTGGCTGCGCCCTCCCGTCAGGGAGTTTAGCGAGCGAGCAGCTCCCTCCGGAACCTCCTTTTCTGCCCCACCGGAGCCCCAGCTCCCTCGGTCCCACCGGAGCCCGTGTAGAAAAGGCAAACTCTCACCGTCCTGTCCTCGCAGCGCTGAAGAGACCCCGTCCCCCCTCCCCTGGCACGGCCCCCATGGCCGCCCCACCCTCCCCTCAGCGTCCCGTTGCCATAGCGGCCCCGGGGCGGGGTCTGGTGCAGATTGACAGCCCCATGTCCAATCCGCTGTTGAGGCACGCCCCTCCTCGCCCAATCAGCGTCCAGGAGGCGCTTCCCGCCACTGCGGTGGGCAGGGAGAAAAGGGCGGGAAAAGCTGTGAGGGGCCTGAGGGGAGCGGCCGCCGCCATCCCCGCCCCTGTCCCACCCTCATCCAAAAACCTCTGGAATGTCATGAGGAGGTCAGAAAAACCCCACTACAACAACAAAAAACCCCACTGCAACAACTTGGAGCTGAGAGGAGGAGGGCAGCAAGTTGCGCTTTTCGAAGGTCTCGGAAAGATTGGCGTTTGGTGGACTGTCAGTGAAATATTGCTGCATGACATGGGGGAGTCTGTTTAAATACCTGACTCAGCCGCCTTCACCATAAAAATATTTTAAAAACAAACTCTGCTTTGCATGCTTGCAGAGCCACAGCTCTGGACAGCAGGTCCTGAAAATGATGTGTAATTCAGGTTGGATATTTCTAATAAATCCCCATTTATGAGGCCTGAGACACAGGGGATCTATGGAAGTGAAGGAGGCTGAGGGAGGGATGGAACATAAAGGGTTCATTTTGTTCTCTGCACCTTTTTTAGACACAACAATTTTATCCAAGGGTAATAATGCTTCTAAATGTGGGGTGATTTTTAAATTTGGGGAAAAATTTGGGAGAGAGGAGTCTGTCCTGCATCCCTCAGCACCAGATTTTCACTTGCAAAGCACTAAAAAAAAATATAGGTACAAGTGAAAAATATCAGTAGGGGCTGAATTCCCTCATAGAAAAAAAAAAAAAGCTCATAATTGCAGTGTTGCCAAACTCCAACAAACACATCAGTGAGTCTGCCTAGATCATGGGTTTATTTTTACCTTTAACATTACCCTCTCTAAATGTGGTCTCTGCTGCATAAGTAAATTTCCTTCCTTCTTGCCTAATAAAAAGTCTTGATAGTGTAGCTCAGGGGAAAAGTCTGCAGATTTGGGAGTAAATTCTCTTGAATGAGCCTTGGATAATGAAAGAAAACATGAAAAAAAATTATTTCCACTCTGTTCAGGGAAATTCTGTGTCATCTGTATTAACAAACCACACAGCATAAATGAAACAATCACAATTACACTAATTATCTAATTTCAGCACAGACAACTGTCAGGAGGCCACATTATAATTATTGAGGAAAAAGGAAGGCACAGAGCACTGAAATGTTCAATCAAGGAGACAAAAATCATCCTGTGCAGTCAAATGTTATGTTTAGTGCAGAGCTTGGACCTGGCTGCAGAACCAGCTGCTGTTTACACATGCAAGGCTTTGATAAATAATTGAGGGAAGCTTCTCAAACTCCAGAGTATAATAAGCCTGACCTCATACAGTCACTTCTGTGGTTACAAGGGGATAAATACAGAGCCAGCCAGGACATCTCTGTGTTGTTATTTTTAGGGAAATAGTCACAGGAGAGAAAGGAGGGATTTTTTTAACACTGCCAGACTGAATGGATAAAGGCTAATTCCCTTTTTTTTTTTTTAATCACTCTTTCCTTTTCTCAACTCTGAAAGGAACTTTGCAGCCTTTTATCCTTCACTGAAATTTGCATTAAATTCACCAAACAGCTCCAGAGTTGCTTAGAGAAATTAATAACTCAATTCTTTATGCTTTATATCCCTAGGAAACAGCACGACTCTACAAGAAAACAGAAGAATCCGTGCTGAGGTGCTGAAGAAAAGATCTTACCCACAGCAGGACTTTCAGCAACACCTGTGGGGTGAAAACAAAACAACAACAAAAAGTTCTTTATTGCAGTTACAATGGGAATTGGGAGCACTGGAGGGTTCCTGGAACCAACAGTCCTGCTGGGGTGAGATAACAGATGTTCCTCCAGCTGTGCAGAAACCACCCAAAACTTCCTTCTGAAACTGCCTTGCTGAATGGATAAAAGGATAATTCCTTAATTGCTGGCCCCCAGCTCTTCTGAGAATTTTTAATCAGTAGAAAATCCTCATTGTGAAGCAAAAAAAAAAAATGAAACTGCTGCTTGCTTGCCAGGATGGGACATAAATATTTCAAATAAAGGTGTAGCCTCTCCCTAAGTCACTTTTTAAAGCAGAGGTTCAGGTTTTCTGTGGAGATTTCTCTCTGGAAAGCAGAAAATTTGGTGGTGATGGTGTGAATAAATTGTAATCCAGGATAAATTTGTACCATCCTCCACCACCCAGACATTGAAGAATTTGTGCTTCTAATCTCTCTCAGTAAAAAGAACAGGCACTGAAAAGCACAATTTAAATATAAAGTATAGAAAAATACACATTGGATCTCAACTGTTTTTTTTTTTTTTCAATATATTGTGGAGAAAAAAGACACTTTAAGGAAAAGAAAGGTTTAAGCCAAATACCAAGGGCTTTTCTAAGTATTAGTAGTAATTAATTCAATTTCTCCTTGAGTGGAGATGGGCAAAGGTGAGGGCTGAGTTTGGGGGATGTTTTTATCCTTAAAAAATAATAAAAAAGAAGCATTTAAATTAAGACACAGGAAGAAAAAGCTTAAATAAAGAGGTGTCCTTTAAAAGTTGGTTTATTTTGAACAAAAGCATATTTTAAAAGGCTTTAAAAGGCTTAATGCCATTTCCATGAACAAGGCCTTGGACAAACCCCATGAAGGAAACATTCCCAAGCTAATTAATTATTTAAGCAATTAGCACAAATCCTGCCATAACAAACACTTGTTTATTTAGGGCTTCCCTGCCCTATATGAACACACAGTGCTTTGACAAATGCCACCCTCATGCAATGCAGATTTACCCAAGTGTAGTGTTCATTATTTAATTGAAGTATTAAGTTATTAAATTGGCAGAAAATTTACAGCTCCAATATCCTGTTCATCCTGAAAGTTATGGACCACAGAATCCACTGTTTTCCTCATAAATTGTTCACCAAAGCCCTTTCCCTGCCCACCCTAAGAGCTGGCACAGACATTGGCCCAAACGAGCAAAAATCTGTGTAAAACTTGGGCTGTTTAATTTGCATTTGCTGTCCCCTCAGGGCTGCAGAGGATGAGCAACCCCAGTGACACTCGGGGAGGAGAGCAAAGGGAGCTCCAGGCTCCACAGCTGGGAGTGCACAGCACAGGGGGCTGCAAGAAAGGTGGGTGAGGGTGGAGGAGGGCAGAGGTGCCAAGGTGACACAGATGGGTGTCCAGGGGCCATGCAGGACCTGGCCCTGGTGGCACAGGGCTCTGAGCTGGGCTGTGCCACCCCAGCAGCAGCAGTGCCACCCCAGCAGTGCCAGGTGGAGGAGGGCAGAGGTGCCAAGGTGACACAGATGGGTGTCCAGGGCACATGCAGGACCTGGCCCTGGTGGCACAGGGCTCTGAGCTGGGCTGTGCCACCCCAGCAGCAGCAGTGCCACCCCAGCAGTGCCAGGTGGAGGAGGGCAGAGGTGCCAAGGTGACACAGATGGGTGTCCAGGGGACGTGCAGGACCTGGCCCTGGTGGCATCAGCACCTCTGAGCTGGACTGTGCCACCCCAGCAATGCCAGGTGGAGGAGAGCAGAGGTGCCAAGGTGACAGATGGATGTCCAGGGGACGTGCAGGATCTGGGCCTGGTGGCACAGGGCTCTGAGCTGGGCTGTGCCACCCCAGCAGTGCCAGGTGGAGGAGGGCAGAGGTGCCAAGGTGACAGATGGGTGTCCAGGGGCCATGCAGGACCTGGCCCTGGTGGCACAGGGCTCTGAGCTGGGCTGTGCCACCCCAGCAGCAGCAGTGCCACCCCAGCAGTGCCAGGTGGAGGAGAGCAGAGGTGCCAAGGTGACAGATGGCTGTCCAGGGGACGTGCAGGACCTGGCCCTGGTGGCACAGGGCTCTGAGCTGGGCTGTGCCACCCCCGCAGCAGCAGTGCCACCCCAGCAGTGCCAGGTGGAGGAGGGCAGAGGTGCCAAGGTGACACAGATGGGTGTCCAGGGGACGTGCAGGACCTGGCCCTGGTGGCACAGGGCTCTGAGCTGGGCTGTGCCACCCCCGCAGCAGCAGTGCCAGCCCAGGGACAGCACGGAATGCTGTCTCCATCCCAAGCCAAGCCGTGTGCCTGTGCTGGGAGCACATCAGCAGCCAGCACAGACCCGAGCAAAGGAGCGTGGGGCGTGTGGGAGGGATGGAATTCCCACTGGGAATCCTCACCTCACCCCCAGCCTGCACAGAACACGCCCGGGCTCTGAGCCCACTCTGCAGCCCGTGCTCTATGGTCTCCAGGGAGTCACAGGATGACCTCCAAAAGGAGGCGTCTGCAGGGCACACGGAGACCGCTCGGGTCCCCTGGGAAAGGTTCAATCTTTGCCCCAGCTGCGCTAAAACCCCGGATCCGCCCCAGCCCCGCGGGCGGCGGCAGGAGCGGGGCGGGCGGGGCCGGGGCCGTCACTGGCAGTGCAGCAGCTCTTCCCAGCGGATGGGCTGCGAGAACACCTCCCGCTCCAGCCACAGCTCGTACGAGCAGTGGAAGTCCTCGGGCAGCTCCAGGCGCTGGCCCAGCACGCTCTGCAGGCAGTTGTCCACCGGGGCGAACTCCGAGTCCTGCGCCTTGTCGTACCTGCGGCTGTTGAAGGCTTCGATGTTGGCCCTCAGCGTGCACTCCTCGGCCTGGAAATCCCACGGCCTGGCGTCGATGTCTGCAGGGGAGGAGGGACAACACCCAAATAGTGTGGGAAACACCGCTCTGGCAAGGTCTGAGCAAAAGAAAGGCTGAAGGTTTCACGTGAATTAACCAGAGTCACTCCGAATTATTATTATTATTATTCCTAACCAAATCCCACTATGCGTGCATTTTCATTTAAGATATCCCATAAAAATATAATTACTCCTGCATTAAGGACTGTTTAAGATGTCCCTTAAAAATGTAATTATTCCTGCTTTAAGGACTCTCTATAATTATAATATTATTTTTTCTCAAAGACCCCACCACTTTTACTAAAAACCTCCACTGACCACTGAAGCAGGGATGAAGACTTAAAAGATTTAAAACCTCATGAGCTTATTATGAGCTCCTAACCACAAATATTTTAAAATTTGTGCAAATGTAGCTATGAATGGTATTGAAAAGCTGCAATAACCATGACATTATGTCATATAAACATATAATATGAAAAGAATCCCAGTATTTTCAAAGCTGGCTTTCACCAGCTCTAAATCTGATGGTGCAGAGCGGTGCCATGAAACTTCTGGAAGAAATGCCCAGCTGTGACAAGAATTTCGGAGGTTTGAGGCCAAAGCAAGTGAAGCAAAGTGAAACTTCTGGAAGAAATGCCCAGCAGTGACAGGAATTTTAGAGGTTTTGGGCCAAAGCAAGTGAAGCAAAGTGAAACTTCTGGAAGAAATGCCCAGCAGTGACAGGAATTTTGGAGGTTTTGTGCCCAAGCAAGAGAAGCAAAGTGAAGCTTTCAAAGGCACGGGCAGAGGACGGGGCAGCACTCACCGTTGCCGTAGGCCCAGTCGTCGTTCATGCGGTGCCGCACCTTCTGGTAGATGGCAGACATGGTCTTCATGTTGCTCTTCCTCCACTGGCGCCCCAGGTACTTGGTCTGGATCTTCAGCAGCTTGAGCACGTAGAGCTGCATCATGGCCTGCTTCACCTTCAGGGCCCGCTTCAGGATTGGGGCTGATTTAAACACCACCAGCATCTGCCAGGAGAGCAACAGCCATCAGAGCAGGGTGCTGGGGGAGCCACACAAACAAACATCTGGGCTGGTGTGGGCACCAGCACCTGGGAGCCACACAAACATCTGGGCTGGTGTGGGCACCAACACCTGGAGAGCCACACAAACATCTGGGCTGGTGTGGGCACCAACACCTGGAGAGCCACACAAACGAACATCTGGGCTGGTGTGGGCACCAACACCTGGGGGCCACACAAACATCTGGGCTTATGTGGGCACCAGCACATGGGGAGCCACACAAACAAACATCTCTCTGGGCTGGTGTGGGCACCAACACCTGGGGGCCACACAAACAAACATCTGGGCTGGTGTGGGCACCAGCACCTGGGAGCCAAACAAACATCTGGGCTGATGTGGGCACCAGCACCTGGGGAGCCACATAAACAAATATCTGGGCTGATGTGGGCACCAACACCTGGAGAACCACACAAACCCCCAGGAGGGAGAACAGGAGAGTTCAGCACAACCAACACTCTGCACGGGGCTTGAGGATCACAGAAATAATGTTATTTGCAGGAGAAAAAGTATTTCTGCATTCAAGGCTCAGTCTGTGGAAGACAAAAGGGAAGATGATGAAGAGCAGAAGCTCCAGCACTTCCACAAGGAACCCCGAGCACAAGGCCAGGCTGAACCTGCTGTGTAGAGCCAGGGAGATGCTCCAGGTGAAATGCTGGAGGGTCTCAGGGCAGGGGACACCCCCTTACCATTGTCCTCGAGTGTTTCCACTTGGTCAGCTTGTTGAGGATCCTCAGCAAGTTAATGCAGGAGAACAAATTCCTCCAGCAGAACTGGTTGCTGTCTCCAGCTTCCTGCAAGGGGAGAAGTGCAGCCCTGACCACAGCGTTCATCAGCACCGCCACAGAGATGTCCCAAGGCAGAAATCTTTATTGTTATTGTCTGCACAAGTCTTATTTCTGAGGGAGGACAAGCAGCAGAGCTTCCTCCTCACTTTGGTTTTCCCCAGAATCTGCTGATGGTAACCCTTCTGAAACATTCCACTTTTAATCTGCTTTTGATTTAGAGCTAATAATGGGATAAATCCCATTATTCCATCATGGGAAATATATTTTGTGGTAGATTTGTATTCTTTGCTTACAGCCAGAGAGCAAATTTCAGCCTGGTGATCACCACTGCTTTTGGTAACTATATCAATTAACTCATGCTTAGGGCACACATTTCCAGTAAAAGGAAATCACAGCTCAGCACAGGATGACAAATAGCAACGTTTGTATCAAGAGGATGAAACCTTTCTGTAACAAAAACCCCTCCAGCCTAAGTGCTGCTGAGACATTGTTTTAAATATTAGCTAACTGTAAACACCCCCAGCTCCAGCTTGTGGAAATACTGCACTTGGAGATTTAATCCCACCACTGCAGTAACTTGCTCCATGTTTGAACAGCTCCAAGCCCAGGAGAAACGTCCCACAGAAATCCTGTTTGGGGATTAGTGCACAACAAGGGCTGCTGAATCTATAAAGCACTCACAGCCAGCTACAGCCTTCTTAACTTGGGGCAAAAACCCAACCCATTCCAGGATCTGGGCAAGAAAATCCCACCAGCACAAGCCCTTGGCTTTTAAATGCAGGTGCCAGCCAGAACCAAGGAATCACTGAGGCTGGAAAAGAGCTCCAAGGCCATCGAGTCCCAGCTGTGACCAATTCCCACCTTGTCCCCAGCCCAGAGCCCCGAGTGCCACATCCAGGAATTCCTTGGACAGAGATGGGCACTCCAAACCTCCCTGGGCAGCCCCTGCCAAGGCCCGAGAGGCAGCCAGAGGTGGGATGTCACCAGAATGTCACCAGGATGTCACTGAGGTGCTGGTGGATGCTGTCTGGTGCTTTGGGGGTCCCAAACTGCAGTGTCCCTGCACTGCCACATCGTGCCCAGGCCTAACTTGCACTCTCTACACCAAGTAATTACCCCAAAGATCCCAGTGGAACAAGCCAATATCCATTTCTTAGGCTGATGGATTTGTTTGTCACCAGTCTGATGTCTCTACAGATTGAAGGAGGGAGGGTCTTTCCATCAGATTTATGGGAGGAGGGAACAGGCCAAACAGACTTTAATACCTTAATACTTTAATACCCTTCTAAGGGGTGGGTTAAGCCCTTTGCAGACCCCTCTGGAGTGACAGGAGAGGGGAGATGGGGACTGGGCAGGATTTGAATCCCCCACCACCTCAGGCACTCCTGATTTACACCGGGTGGGGACAGCAGTCACCCCACAGGCCCCCTTGGGACACAGCTGGGCTCATCCTGGCTCTCCTTGGGATAACCAAACACACATCACTGTGCTCAACCCACTGAGAGCAGAATCACCTGTGACATCCTCTGGGAAATGTTGAAATCCACTGGGCTGTTGAAATCACTCATCAGAGTGACAAAAAAAGCTCCAACAACGCATGAAGTGCTGGCTGAAAAAATATAAATAGGTGCACAAATGTCTGCCTCGAGTAGCAGGGTGTGTCTAATTCCTATTAAATCCTTAATTCCATGGGTATCCTCCCTAAGATGAACCCTTGTGGTAAAACTCAAGTTGGTTTCTGCATATTTTCTAATTAAATTGCTCTCCCTTGAGGATAACATCTGTGTCTGCTGGGGGAAAGTGAAAGGTGCTGTCGTGGAACGTGACAGCACTCAAACTGTCCAGACCCTACTGGGAGAATTTCCCTAAAAACGCTCAGTTTTCCCCTACAGCCTTAAGGCTGACTGTGAGGATTGCACGAGCCATGAAACCCTCCCTGAAGTGTCACTAGATGTCCCCACCGGTCCAGGATACGGTGGAGTCTGCAGGGCTGGATGGGGACACCCAGCCCTCAGCAGCCCCTGCACCTGGGGAAAATCTCTCTGATGATTTTGACCTTTACACACCTAAGGAAAGCAACACAGGCCTCAGACTGCAGCAGCACCATGAGATCATCCCTGCCCAGAGTGGATTTGCTCAGGATCCTTCTCAATGATTTAGGGTCTCCATTTTCTGTCCATTATTTCCTGTTAACCTCAAAGCTTTTCCCTGTGCTGGCCAAGTCCAACCTCCTCTGCACTTGAATTATTGTAATTATAATAACAATTACACTGCCAGTGTTATTGTCCCATCTGTGGTCTGTGTGTTTGCCCAGCCCATCCTCTGGCCAGCCTCTGGAACACTTAAGGCTCCTCTCCATGGGGAATTTGGTTCATTCCTTAAGCTGGTATCTGATAGAACATTAGTGCCCAGAGCAATTAAAACCTGGGAGGCAACAGCCTCTGGGTAAATTCTCTTTCAAAGCACAAGAGTCTTGTCAGAACAAGAGGAAACAGCCTCAAACTGTGCCAGGGGAGGCTCAGGTTGGACATCAGGAAGAATTCCTTAGGGGAAGGGTGGGCAGGCCTTGGCAGGGGCTGCCCAGGGAGCTTTGGAGCTGCCATCCCTGGAGGTGTCCAAGGAATTCCTGGATGTGGCACTCAGGGCTCTGGGCTGGGGACAAGGTGGTGTTTGATCAAAGATTGGACTTGATGATCTTGGAGGTCTTTTCCAACCACAACAGTCTCAGAATTCTGTGATTCTGTTCTGTCAAAGGGAAACCCCCAAACCCAGCTCTTTTTATGGGGTGCCCAACACCAGCAGTGCCTCTTCCCCACTTCCCCACAGCTGACAGTGACTCAGAATAGTGATGGGAGGGATTTTCAAGCCTGGAGAGGAAAAAAAGTCCAATTTTGGAAAGGTTGGGGGCTACAGAAAAAGAAGACAGCGAACAGAAAACCCAAATCCTTCCTCATGCTGTCACAAAGAGCAATCCTGGCCACAAAAACCCTTTCTGTGCTGCTTACCAGGCTTTCTGCTGTGAGCTCAGGCAAGTCACAGACCGTGCAGTGGGGATAATCCAGGACAGAGATGCTACAGAAAACAGGAAAACAGGGGCTTGTTAGCCAAATGTCACCAGTGTTAGGCTGGATGTGACACACATGTGATCAGGGTCTAAGAAGAAAAAAGTTTTTATTCTGCATGTTCTCCAGCTTATGTACTCTTAACAAAGCGTGATCTTAAGTCATCAACTACATCACAATAACTTATTATATTCATTGGTGCAAAGCAATTAATATCAATATAATTGGCAAAAGTTTTACAGAAATTTAATAAGGCACGTATACACATCTACTTATGCATGTAGTCTAGCTTACAAAATTTTTCATGTATCTTTTCTAATCTGTTTCCATGCTGACAGCCTTGTCTTCTTTGCTATGGATACACTGGAAAATCATCAATTGTTATTTCTTCTATTAGCTCAGCTTGGCTTGCAGGCCAGCTGTCAAGCCATTCTACACCACCAATTAACACGAGAGAAGTTTTTAAGGTGATCTGTATGACCATGCCCAGGAATCTGTAACATTCTTCCTGCTCTGTGCCTGGAAATGCCACAGGTGGTTTGGGTGGGGAACAATCCCATCCCCAGCAGCCGTGCTGATGGCACAGACAGCACCCAAAGGGGATCCCAGCCTCAGCACTCCTCAGCCTAATGGGGCACATTGATGCCTCCTGGCTCCAAAGCTCCATTCTGAGTCCATTAATAAGGACACAAAGGGTTTGGATCCATTAAGACATGACAGATGAGTAATTCATATGCATATTTAAAAAGGGGAAAAAAGTAAACAAAATCGATCTGAGGTTCACAGGGAGGCATTGGGTTGGCAGCAGGAAAATTTATGGTGAGCGAATATTTAGAGTATCATGTTTTTCAAAGGCTTCCAGGCCTGTGGAATTTGTAAAAGCAGTCAATGAAATACAGCCAGAACTGGAGTTTACACCTCCCTGGCTCAGAGTATCAGAAGCTGTACATCCCACCTGCCTCCCAGGTGCATTTCCTGCCTGTGAAACCTCCATCCCAGAGCAGAGGAGGGAGCTGAGTGCTCCTGGGATATGTTTCTTCCTCACTTAAAAAACACAGGAGCAAAAGTGGAAATATTTACAGCAGGAGGATCAACATATTACTTCCTATTTTTCTATGCGTGCCTCCTCGCACAGACACAACCATACCGTGCAGGAGACAGCCCAGCCTACACACGCAGCTGAAGAGCCACAAAAAGAGCATCAGAAAGGAAGAAAAAGGATCTTTTTATCATCCCAACACCCTGTGGAGCTCCTCTCCAAACAGAGAAATCCTGCCATGGTGGGCTGTGAGAGATCTGTGCTGTCTCAGGTCTCTGATCCATGGTGGTCCAGCCAGTGCCCTGCCCAAAACGGGGCTGGTGCCTCTCTCAGATCAGCAGTAAAGGGCAGTGACAGCTATGGAAAACCTGAAGGAGTCAGGAAAGCTCAATTACAGCTACAAGAAGTGGGAAAGGCCTGGAAGAGCCCATCCCATCTGGCGTGGATGGAGCTGCGGCCCAGGGATGCTCGATGGCACTGGATGGCTCCCCAGCAGTCCATGTGAAGATGAAAAGCACTTTATTTTAAAGGCTAAGCCTATTTTATGAGATTGGAAACCCAGCATGCAGTCATCCTCATCATGCCAAAGGGATCTGCTCCCTCCACATGTTTCTGTGGTGGACAGGACAGCCCAAAGCCTTGTGAGGCCACCTGGGTCCCCCAGGACATCAGGGCTCCCCGAGCACGAAGCCTTCCTGCCCCACCACCCATCTGTCCCCCAGCAGGGGCTGTACCTGTTTTTGGCAGCGATGTAAGACATGATGTTCTGGTTGAAGAATTTCAGGATCAGCGGGATGCAGTTGGCAAACACCAGGTGTTGGGACACGTACTCAAACTGGGGGAGACAAGGGAAGTGGATCAGCATTAGGGGACAGCTGGGAGCACCACCTGGGAATGGAAACCTTTCTCCAGCCAAAAGCAGAGCACTTGGTTTGCCCCAGACACCCCACAGAGCATTCTGTCCCTGGAGTTTGCTGTGTAAGGTCTGTGTCATGCACAGCAGCTGGAAAATTCCATTTGCCACAGAGAGGACACGCACACTTCACAGCAGTGCTCTGGGAGTAGCTGCACATCATGGCTTCTCAAAATTAAATCTGTGGAAAAACAGTGTGTGGGGAAGAGGGAAGGGTTGTAGCTATTACATGAGAAAATACAATAAATCCTATTGCTCTCACACACTAATCCCAGTTCCCTCAGAAATTTTGACTGAAACAATATCCCTATTTTCCTACTTGCTTTTAATTCCTCTCTCCCTCAAAGCTTTAAATGGTCTTCAAGGTCCCTTCCAACCCAAACCACTCTGCAGTTCAATACTACAACAAATCTCTCCCGTCCTCTAAAGATACAAACTGCAGCAAAACCCAGTCCTATCCCATCCTGCCCTTCCCATGCCTCTCCATCCAGATCTCCAGTTTGAGAGGGAAGGAACAGTTTGTTCCCATCTCAGCCTGGTGCCAGCTGTCAGCATTGGCACACCGCAGATGACACAACAGCACAGATGACACAGCACTGGGAAGTGCTGGTGAGTAATGGACCCTTCCAACCCAAACCATTCTGTGGTTCAGCGGTTCCTTCACTTCAGACCTGCTGGAGTTCTCATGGTGCTCCCTGAGACCACCTTTGGCACAGAAAGAACAAAACCACCCCGATCAGGCACAAAGAAAAGCAGGATCAGGGGGATTCAGGGAACCCTGCAGCTTTCTCCAGGCTCAGCAGCAGGCTGCAATGCCCTCCTGCCTGGGGGGAAGAAAGGAGAGGAGCTGCTTTGAAGTGAGAAAAATTAACGAAGGGATTGTGGTGAGCGGGGGGAGCAGAACAAATGTAGGATTGTAAAAATGTGGGAGTTGGTTTCATTTCACCCAATCCAGGACGTGGATTTATATTTATCCTCAGTTAAATATCAGTGGGTTTTGTAACGCAGAGGGATTTGTAGCGTGCTGAAAGCTTTAACAGAAAAAATTAGAAAACATTAATTGTTTGACTTGCAGAACGAGTGGAGAACTGGGCCACAGCTCAGATTAGTCCTTGGGTTTTTTTAACCAAGGTAAGCCCTGGAGTGGGTGCAGTTTGATTGGTGCCATGCAGACGGAACAAAAACCACATTGGGAACAAAAATCAGATTGCAACTATGACCCAGATCTCTGCCTCTGTTGAAACTGGAGCCCCCAGAACCCGATCCTGCCAAAACCAGAGCAGGTGACCTCGTGAGGTCCTTCCCAGCACTATTTCTGGGCACTGGAGATGACAGAGCAAAAGAGAGTCTTGCCTAATCCCCTTCCTCTTCCCCCTTCTGCCAGGGAGGCTGGTGCCATTTCCTAAATTTAACCTGAATGGATGTTCCCAGAAGCCTAAAAGCTCCTGCCGTGTCAGTAGGAAAGGTGTTGTCAAAGCACAGCGGGGTTACCCCAACCTGAGCGACCCTGGACAAATCCTGGAGCTGTGGAAATGTGATTACAGCTCCTCATGGAAACTCTTCCAGGAGAGGGTTTATGAGGAGCTTCAAGCCCAGCTGGGCAGTGGCCATCCCTTGCTCTAGGCCCACCTGGTAGATGTGGTTCAGCTTGAAGTGCTTGAGGAGCAGCAGCAGCAGCGCCGAGATGCTCTTCACGATGATCTCCTTGTGCCTGTTCACGTCGATGCCCAGCTTCATGCTCTGCAGCACGGTGATGCTGCGTGGAGGGAAAGCAGCTCCTGGCTGTGGCAGCAGGGAGCCAAGGGACCCCGGAGCTCTCCTTCACCTGGGTGAGCTCTATGAAATCAAGCACCTTCACTCCTCCTGCGACTCCCATCTCCTCCCATCCCACCTGGTGATGCCAAAATGTGTTCAAAAAAGGTGGCTTGCCTTCCATCAGGAATCCTGGCGGAGCGGTAGGAAGGACACCTCCTGTTTGCTGACAGATCTTTATGATTTGGGTCAATTAGCAGGATTTTATCATTTGTGCCACTTAGCTCGGAGTGGCTGCACTCAAATCATGGCAGCATCACTGCCTTGGCTTTCACAGCTCTGCCCTGGTGCCAACTGGAATTCACACCTACCCAAACAGATACCCCAAATCTGGAGCCCCCCAAACCTATTGGCTCTCCTGCTTGGTCCAAGGCTTGGTGGCAAGGCTGGGATGGCCGGTGGCCACCTGGTGAGGGACTTACGGCATCTCTTCGGGCAACACGTCTGCCAGGATGTTGATGGAGTCAGTCTTGGCCTTGGAGGTGGGTGCAGCAGCCAGCAGGATCTTCAGCAAAGCGATCTGCAGGAGAGGGAACGTGTGGGGGAAGGTCCAGGAAAGGGAATTCCTTCCTTCTCCTTCACTTGCCAGAACTGGACAACTCCAAGCCAACCCTAGAGGGTTTCACCCGGCCACACTCAACCTCTGACAGACAGGACAAGTGTGGGGAGCTCAGCAGCTCTGTTTGATCCTTAAGCTAAGGCATCTCATGTGCCTGAGCTCTGGCAGGGAGGGTAAAACAGCACAAGGAACACCTGAAGTTTAAATGCACTTAAATTCTGTCTCTCCCTACAGAGCCCACGTTACCCAACCAGCATCTCAGAATCCTCTGAATCCTCCTCTTGGACTGCACTTTCCTCCCAGCTCTGCTCAGGATTCCCACCAAAATCTGACATTCCAGGTCCTGAACCCCCTCCTGTGCTGAGCTCTGCAGCTCCTGGACTGGCACCATTCCCTACTCCAGAGCTTTTCCTTCCTTTAAGGAACAGGAGCTTACCATGTACTGGGGGAGATTGTACAGCATTGCTCGATACAACACCTCACAAGGGGTTTCTTGCACTTCCTCTTCCCCCTAGGGCAGAGAAACATTAAAAACAAGGGAAAATGAAGCAAAAATAAGCATGGATTTATGTGACACTTTGGGAACCTCCCATCTTCTCTCTGGTGATGGGGTGAAGCACTTCCTTCTTACCAGAGACATGGGGCACTTCTCCAGCTCCTCCTCGTTCTTGATCTGGACATCCGAGATGGAAACGTACTTGTGCTGGCAAAACACACAGACAGAGGCAGAGCAGCGTCACAGTGTCACAGGAAACAGGGCCAGCAGTGGTCACTGCAATCCCCAGTGAGGGTGCAGGGCACAGCAGAGCCACGGGCACCTCATCCCTGAGTGGGACATCCCTGAAGCCCCTCACACCTCTGCCTTGGGTTACTTCCACCTGCTCCCTCTAGGAGCTCTCTGTAAGGAATTAGAGGGACAATCGCCTCCAAAAGACAGCCCAGACCCTGGATAGGGCCAGGTGGCCTCTGGAGGGGTCTCATTCCCCACAGAGCACTGCAGGAGCTGAGGCTGGCTGCGCTTCCCCCTGGGAACAGCACATTTGGGAATGTATGTGCAAACCCAGCTCTGAAAGCCTGTCACCTTCAAAACACATGACAGGCATTCACCAGGAAACAGGAATGCCACACCTTGGATGAAGGGAAAGTAAAAATCCTGGAGAGGCCACTTGAGGACTCAGTTTTTAATTTTCTGCCCCAATTCCTGCAAGAAGCTCCAAAAGCTTTTCCTGTGGCACCCAACTTTTTACTCCCTGCAGTAAGAGTGTTTCAGGGAGGGTGGCCAGGAGGATCCACGTGGTGGCTACCCCATGCCATGCATGGAGCCACCATCTCACCTGCTTCAGGGTCTTCACACTTTCATGGATCGGCCGTGGGAGCCCTATCAGGGTTTCAGTGTCCCTGGGGGAGAGGAAAGAAGGTCAGTTCTGGGAAGGACATCCATGCTCAAACATTCCCACATCCTAACAGGTAAAAGAGGGAGCCTGGAGTCTGCTGAATGCGTCCCAGATGGGTCAGGAATTGGGAGAGGTGTTGGCCTGAACTGCTGCCCTCCCAGCTCCTCCCCACCATGCCTGCACGAGGCAGGAGAGACATTGGGGTGGAGAATTGGGGTGAAATCAGATTGAATCAGAATCTGGCTGAAATCAGATGACATCACAAATAGGGTGGAGCCTGTCTGAGCCCAGCACTGCACCTAAAAATGAATTGACCCTGCTGGGCCAGTCCCAGGATGACTCTGCACCCACAGCTTGATTTATCCACAAACTGAGTAATTTGCTGTGGATACCAAACTGTCTCAGCTGCCTTTCACATCAAACCAGCTCCTGGCTTGGGCCAGTGGTCACTTATTTTGGTCTGATTTTTAATAGAAAGAGGTCCCTGGGGAGCAGCGTCTCCAGGAACATGCTTTTCTAGCCCTGCTTTCATTGCTGCAGCTCTGGCAATGCCTCGAGCTGGGAAAGCCTGAGCTTTGTGCTTAGCCCCCACTGATGGAGGCTGCAGGGCAGGTTTTGGGGACGGCACACTCACTGTCCCAGCGTGAAGCCGATGAATTTGTTCCTGCTTGCTTCCAGGAAATGCTCGATGTCTTTCTGTCTGATGGAGCAGCGGAGAGACAGAAACAAGGAGAAGGTTGGAAAACAGCCACGGACAAGATCACAACCTCAGACTGATTTCTAGAGATCTCAACAGCAGTGGGCAAAATCCACATTTGCCCTCACTGGCTGGGGACAATGAGAACCTAAACCATTTGTATTTGCTGTGCAGCTCCACGGGAACACGTGAGTAAACAGAGAGGAGTTTTCTGCAGCCAGCACCTTTGGATCCACCTCCTGTGCTCCTCACACCATCTCCAAGGAGCATCTGCTGGCTCTGGGAGAACAAATGTTGTCTCCACGGTCTGTCAGAGCACACGCTGCTGCTACAGCAGACTGACATCTTGTCCACCTTGGGCATCTTTCATGGGAACTGCTGGGCAGCTCTGCACTACAAGCAGGACATGAGCTGTGAGCCAGGGCTCTCCTGGACAGAAAGGAATCCAGCTGCATCTCCAGCCAGCAGCCAAGGAAAGCAGCAGCCATTGGATTTCAAAGCTGAGAGTGTTAAGTGACGTGGAGCACCACAGCACCACCATGGAGATCCATGTGGGAAACCAATTCCTGCTGTGTTTCTGCCAGGAATGCTCTGGACAGACTGACTTAACCCTGTCACTGCTCCTATCTCAAAATATCTGCTTGCTCCTGTGTTTTAAAGATACTGGATTAAATCCAGGCTTGGGATAAACAGTAGAAAAACCCTCACATGGATCAGAGGAAAAGAGGTTTTCACCCTCTTTTCCTAACATTCCCTCACTTCATGTGTGGATAGCTGCCTTAGGAAGGAAAGGCACCAACTGCTTTGTCCTTAGGTGGTTTTCTCTGCCACTAAAAAGGCTTCACCTGACAACACAGGGGTCCTACTCACCCAACAGGGTGTCACTGACCAGCTCCCAAGGTGATTAGTCAAGGGCTTTGTGCTACCAAGATCCACTGGGACCTGGCTGGGAAAGCTGTCCCTGCTCCCACAGCGCCCCAGCACAGCCTGGGATATCCAAACTGGATTGCCACTTATTGGGCAGTAAATTGGTTTGCCCATTTATTGGCTCGGGCTGGGTTTAGCTGAGCTCTTCCCCAGAATTTACACACCACACGTGGCAAGTGGCCAATCCAGAAAGGACCAACAAAAAAGAGAAGCGGAATCACTTCAGTTCAACCAGAGGCCAAAAAACTTGCCAAAACACTGCAGAGAACTCCAGGACAGGTAGGTGTGGGGCGGAGGGCGGTGACACCGGTGGCTTTACCTGACTTTGGGGGCCCAGGGCAGCCCCTTGGGGAAGGACACCCTCTCGATGGGCAGGCGCTGCGCCGGCAGGGCGGGGATGAGCGCGTCCCGCTCCACCAGCTCCAGCTCCCCCTCCATCCCCCCGTCCACCTCGTCGTTCTCCTCTTCATCAACCCCTCCCTCGTCGCTCTTGAAGGGATCTCTCTCGTTGTAGATATCCAAGCTGTCCTGCTTCATCAGGGGCTGCAGCACAAGGGGAGGGAAACACTCAAGTCACTTCAAGGATTTTATTTCCCTCTCAGGTGCTGGCACCAGATCTCTCTGTCCTGAAAGGATCACGCTCTCAGATGTTCCTCAGGTAAGGGTTTCCCTGCTAGCTCTTGCCACCAAGGCCTGCACAAGAATAATTCCTTCTGTACCTCTAACCTTCCTGCTCTAGCAGGTGCGACCCTGTTTTCCACCTTAACTTTTGGGGTTTCCATCTGACATCTCTTCCTTAGCAAAAGGCATTTCCATCCCCAGAACACAACACAGCAACTCCAAGAGCGGAGCTAAGAAAAGAACTTGCTGTGAGCAGTTTGCTCCCTGGTGCTTATCAGCCCTTTGCCATAAGGTCAGGATGTCCTCTGGCTTCCTCTGGATCAAACACACCCCATGGGGCTGATCTGTAGCAGTTGAAATTGGTGGATGAAAAACTGGACATGCTCTGACCTCGTGTTCTGAGAGCCCAAATTCCCCCAGCCCTGGGCTGGTCCCCCAGCATGGGCAGCAGGGGAGGGGAGGATTCTGCCCTTGTGCCCAGGTGAGACCCCACCTGCAGGGCTGCCCCAGCCCTGGGACACAGCAGCAGCACCTGGAGAGAGCCCAGAGGAGACCCTGGAGCTGCTGCAGGGCTGGAGCCCCTCAGCTCCCAGGAATCCAGGCTGGGAGAGCTGGGGGTGCTCACCTGGAGAGGAGAAGGCTCCAGGGAGAGCTGAGAGCCCCTGGCAGGGCCTGCAGGGGCTCCAGCAGAGCTGCAGAGGGACTGGGGACAAGGCCTGCAGGGACAGCACCCAGGGAATGGCTCCCACTGCCAGAGGGCAGCCATGGGTGGCATCTTGGCAATGAGCAATTCCTGCCTGGGCTGGCATTGCCAGAGCAGCTGGGGCTGCCCCTGATCCCTGCAGTGCTCAAGCCCAGCTTGGCTGGAGCTGTGAGAAACCTGATCTAATGGAAGGTGTCATTTGGAACGGGACGGTCCTTAAGGTCCTTTCCAACCCAAACAATTCTGTAAGCCTAGAACTGGAAAACACCGGAGCACCTGGGGGGAAGGGAATTACAACCAGAGCGCTCCGGGCTCCTCCTGCCGGTGCAGGGAACCCCTCCGGGCCGGGGGACGCTCCCGCTCTCACCCTGCGGCTGCGGTGGCTCCGCTTGGGCTGCTGCGGCTGCTGCGGCTGCTGCTCCACGAGCTCGATGGCGCAGGTGGGCGGGGAGGCCGCCCGCATCCCCCGCACCACCTGGATGCTGTCCTCGGGCAGCGGCGGCAGCCCCAGCTCCTCCCGCCGCCGCACCTTCATGGCCTGCAGCGCCTCGAACCCGCCCAGCGTGAACTGCGGACACACACGGGGAGAGCACGGAGTGCACACGGTGCACACACGGAGCGCACACGGAGCGCACACGGAGCGCACACGGAGCGCACACGGAGCACACACGGAGCACCCAGGGAGCACCCAGGGAGCACACACGGAGCACACACGGTGCACACACGGAGCGCACACGGAGCGCACACGGAGCGCACACGGAGCACACACGGAGCACACACGGAGCGCACACGGAGTGCACACGGAGCGCACACGGAGTGCACACGGAGCACCCAGCCCTCCCGGGCAGCTCCCAGCTGGGGCCATCAACCAGGAGAGCCGAGGGGAAGGCACCACTGCACTCCTTTCTCCAGATTCCTCCCCCACCCCACATCCTCAGCCCAACCATCCCAGAAGGATTTGTTCCTTGTGTGACCTCCCGGTGCCATCCTAAATAACCCCGTCACGGTTGGGTTGAATGGTGGGGAATATCCAGGCTCCAAGTTTCTGGAGCAAGGAAGGGTTTGCACTCACCAGGAGCACCTTCCAGAGCAGGAGCAGGACCTTCTTCATGGGGAAGTGTGGAGCGTGGCCGCTGCAGAACTTGGTGACCATGGTGAAGAGCAGCAGAGCAAAGGGCTCCTCAGTGTGCACAGGGAAACCTGTGCAGAGGGGACCAGGAGAGGGTCAGAGCTGATCCCCCATCCCTGAGCTGGCCCTGCTGCTCCAGCACCACAAAGGGAGCTCCGGGGGCACAGTGAACTGTGGGGCTCACTCAGCTCCATCCTGAAGGTCTCCCGGCAGGTTTTCCACTCGGGGGGATCCGTCTCCTGCTCCACGCGGACGTTCTCCACCATCAGGTACATGACACTGAGCAGGACCCTGCCAGGACAGCACGGCAGGCTGGCGTGAGGCCACCGTGTCCCCAGAGGATGTCCCCCAGCCCTGCCAGCACCAGGGGTACCTGAGCTCGGTGCTGTCGGCCAGGGAGATCGCCGGCTTCCGCAGGGCGCTGCTGCAGGCCTGGCTGTTCCTGCAGGGCAGGGCAGAGCTCAGTGCCAGCCCCCTCACCCCACCCAGCCAGCCCCTGGCAGTGCCACGCGGGACAGGTGACACGGCTGGGGCACCTCCCCGCGGGGAGGAGGAGGATGGGGAGAAAGAGGATGAAGAGGAGGGTGAGGAGGATTGAAGAAGAGTGCGAGGAGGATGGGGTGAAAGAAGATGAAGAGGAGGAGGATGAGGAGAAAAGGGTGAGGAAGATAGGGAGAAGGAAGACAAAATGAGGGACATGAGAAGGATGAGGAGAAAGATGAAGAGGAGGATGAAATAAAGGAGATGAAAAGGAAAAGGGTGAGGAGGATGAGAAGAAAGACAATGAAGACAAAAAGGGTGAGGAGGATGAGGAGAAAGAAGATGAAAAGGAGGAAGGGGGGAAGATGAGGAGAAAGTGGAGGTAGAAGAGAAAGAGGAGAATGGAAGAAGAGGGTGAGGAAAGTGGGGAGGAAGAAGATGAAGAGGAGGAGAGTAAATTGGATGGAAGAAGAGAAGAAGGAGAGAAAGCGAATCAGAGAATCAGAGAATCACAATCATTTTGGTTGGGAAAGACCTCCAAGGTCATCGAGTCCAAGAAGTGCAGGGGTGAGAAGAAAGAATGAAGTGAAGAAGAGGACAAGGAGGGAGAGGATGGTGAGGGCAGCGCAGTCCTCTCACTCAATCTCCATGTTGAGGAGCTCCAGGAAGGCAGAGAAGGTTCCCAGCTGGTACAGGAGGAAGCTGTTGTGCCGAGACCAGTGCAGGACATCACCTTCATTGTCACAGTCCCCAAAGACACCTGGAGAGGCCCCAGAGAGAAACCCTGGTGAGGGAGGATCTGCCTCTGAACCCCTGGAGTCCACAGGACCACCCCAGGCAGGAGCTTCACTGCCCCAGCCTGGCACAACCCTGTGAAAAGCTTCTCCCAAACCCCCACGGCAGCAGATCCGAGGCCACATCCAGCAGGGGGGACGTGTCCTCACCCTGTGCCAGGTACAGGATGGCCCGTGCCACTCGGAGCCTCTTGTCCCTGTCGACCACCTCCAGCCCATCCAGCAGGTGCATGACATAGGCCTTCTGCTGAGCCCTGTCCAGCTCCAGCCACCTCCTGTCCGGCACTGCAAAGGGGACAAAGGGACACGAGTCCATCAGGGGCTCCCCTGGGGGCTGCTCTTGCCCCAGGCCCGGGGTGCTGAGCCAGGGCTGGTACCTTGAGTGTGAAAATCCTCCTCGAAGCATCTCCTGTTGTGGCTCAGCTCGGGCTCCTCGGTGTAGCTGTACAGCTCTGATGGAGACAGGGATCAGCAGGGACATGGAGGGGCTTCACCCTCCTCCTCATCCCCAAGTTCCTTGGGAAGCACCCCTGTGCATCCAGGCAGACATGGGACAGAGACCTAAACTGCTCCCTGAGCCCTCCTGCGGCTCCAAGGGCACCAATGCCACCAACCTCATCCCCTTCATCCCCAAACTCATCCCCTTCATCCCCTGCCTGGGCTGTTCCCAGCTCCAGCTGCACTTCCAAATTCATTGGGGTTTTTGAGGGGACATTTGGACTCTCACTTAGGCAGTTTGGGAATGAAGGGAATGCAGGAACACCCAGGCAGGACCTGCACTGATCCCTCACCCAGCAGCTCGGACATTTTTGGTCCTGCAAATAGGGACTGGACTTGGAGGGACACGATATTTCACCTGCTCTTTGTAATTCCTGCCTGTGCCTGTCGGATTCCTGCCTGTGCCTGTCGGATTCCTGCCTGTGCCCACAGAATCCCTGCAGTCCCGAGGGGCTGAGCAGCACCACGGAGGACTGAGGTGATCCTGCAGGGAAGGAGGAAGGATCCCTTGCACAGGAAATGTGTTTTTGCCAGGCCAGCTGAGATACACCGAGCTATAAATAACCCCGTTTTCCCCGGCCACGCTCGGGAGCGGGGTTAGGGAGCAGAGGCAGCTGGAGGGACACGGGGACAAGGACAGAGCCGCCCGATAAAGGCTGGGCGGCACCTCCCGCCTGGGCTCTGTCACCGGACACTGCTGCCACCCCGGCGCTGGCGGGGCAACCCCCGTGTCCCCACGGTCCCTCTGCGTCCCCGGGGAGCGAGCGGCTCTCTAATAATAACCCCGCTCGCTCTGCTGCTGCAGGGCCGGCACCGCTCCGTGTCCATCCCCCATCCCGGCGGGATTCTCGTTTTCCCTGCCCGCCGGGCACCTGGAAACAACAATGCAGCGCCCGAAACCCGCTTCACCTGCCAGCTCAGCGCCGTGGCCGTCGGCATCCCCGTACTCGAATTCCAGGTTGGGACAATCCACGGAGCCCTGCGGGGAGCGGGATGGGGTTAGGAGGGGGCTGGCACAGCCCCGGGGATATTTCGGGCTGCGGGATGGCCGCCAGCGCTCGCAGCCTTTGCGCCAAAGCTGCTCCAGCCGCCGCTCGCAGGGATGGAGCGGGGAGTCCGTGCGGGGCCGCTTAAACACGGCGGAAATGTGGAAGCCGTGTGTAAAACCAGCATTTCTCAAATCGCAGGAAAGGCAAAGGCACGACACAAAATGCCGGTGAATGTTTGATGCGTTTCAGAGCCCTAAAAACAACCCCCGGGGCCGGTTCAAAGCACAAGCCCGCGGGAGGATGCTGCGGATCCCCGAGCTCCGTGCCCAGCGCCGCAGATCTGACAGCTCCCGGGGCCGCGCTTTGCCTTTCTGCTCTCCCCCTCCTCCCCTGCGGATGAGGAACTGGAGCATGAAACTCGGCCCGAGGATCCCGGCGGGGCAGCGAGCGGGCAGCCGCAGCCAGACGAGCCAAGGCCGGCACCGCGCCGCCCTGGCCCGGGGAAGGGAACACACGAATGGGTAATCAAGGAAATGAACATAATTCCCGTTCCGAGTCCCGGCATCCCTGCTCGGCAGCCGGGCTGGGGCTGATGCGCGTCGTGGCCATCAATATTGATGAGGCACGAGCCCGGGATGAGCGCTGGGCTCAGCAGCGCGGGGTTCTCAGCTCCCAGCCCGGTTCCGCAGCCCCGCCGCGGCTCGGGCGCTCAAAGCCGGGCAGGAATTCGGCAAAGCGCGGGCAGCCCTAATCCGCTTTGAGAGACGGAGGGACCGAGGCGGCGAGCAAAGCAAAGCCCAAACTCACGAGTCGGGGACACCACTTGGACGCCGTTCCCAGGGACCCTGTGGGGGTTAGGGAGCCCCAAAGGTGCCCAGGAACATCGGATCCCGGTGGGATCCTGGTGACCCCATCCCGGTCCTGCTCTCCCAGCCCGGCACTCACGAAGCCGCACGGGCGCAGCCGGGGCAGAGCAGCCCAGCGGGGTTTGGGGGTTCCCCCGTGCCCCGGGGCTATGGGGGCAGGAGAGGCGAACGGGACAGCGGCACCCGGACCTTGGTGAGGGGCAAAGGGAAATCTGCAGAGTGTGGGGGAGCCCAGAGCCCAGGTGGGTCCCCAAACCCCTGCTGGCGGCTCTGGGCGTGGGGCTGGGAGGTGCCAGCGCTGGGGCTCAGCTAGCACCCCAAAACTCTGCAGCTGGGTCTGGCAGTGCCCCTGGGGCTCCCCGCTCCGGGCTGGGCATCGCAGGACCCCTAAAGCGTCCAGTTTGGGGTAGGGAGCACCCCGAAGTCCGGGAGCTCCCCCAGTCCTGGATAAGGCTCCTTCCGCAGGGACCCCAGCCCCGGAGCAGGGACCCCCCCCTACGCCACAGCAGGTCCCGGCGGAGCACGGGGGGTGCCGGCACCGAGCTCCGCGCCCTTACCTCGGACTCCTTGCGCTGGCTCCTGAAGAGCTCCCGGCCCTTGGGCTGTGTCTGGGGCTGTGTCTGGGGTTGGGGCTGTGGCTGGGGCTGTCCCGGGCGGGCCCTGCCCGGGCCCGGGGCTCCGCCGCCTCCCGCCGCCTCCATCCCCGGCCCGCGGCCGCCGCCAGCACGTGGGGCCGGGCCCCGCCACGCCCCGCCACGCCCATTGGTCCGCCGGGGCCGGGGGCGTGGCCTCAGGACACTCCCCCGCTTCACCATTGGTCCGGATCGGGATGGGGCGGGGCCAGAGGTAACGGTGAGGGGAGTCGGGGGGACCCGGGGGGACTGGGGGGGGGCTGGGGATACAGGGGGATCCCTGGGGTGCTGGGAACAGGGAATGCTGGGGATACAGGGGGTGTCTCTGGGGTGCTGGAAACAGGGAATGCTGGGGATACAGGGGGTGTCTCTGGGGTGCTGGAAACAGGGAATGCTGAGGAGTTATGGGGTGTCCCTTAGGCAGTGGGAGCAGGGAATGCTGGGGAAGGAGAATTTTAGGGAGTCCCTGGGGTGCTGGGAGTACAGAACGCTGCCATGCGGGTTATGGGGTGTCCCTAGGAGTACAGAACGCTGCCATGCGGGTTATGGGGTGTCCCTAGGAGTACAGAGCGCTGCCATGGGGGTTATGGGGTGTCCCTAGGAGTACAGAGCGCTGCCATGGGGGTTATTGGGGGTCCCTGGAGCGCTGAACTGGGGCAGCAGGGCGGGAGCCGGCGGTGTCAGAGGGGCCCATGGGGTGGCCATGGAGGGGCCGGGGGCACCTGTGGGGCTGCAGCCGCCCCAGCCGAAGGTCCCCATCCCCGAGGCAGCCCCAGGAGCACCCGGCCCCTCGGGCCGTGCAAACCCCGCCGTCCCCATTCCGGCCCCAGGCAGCTCCCGGGGCCCCGGAGCGGGGTTTGTTTCCATTCCCACACCCGGTAAGGGGGGGTGGTTGTTTTTGGGGTGCCTGTGGGTCACGTTTGTGGCCGGGGATGTTCCGGGTGCCCGGCTCGGTGCCCCTCACGTCCCGCGTCCCTTCAGAGCCTCTGGGAGGCTGAAAACCCCCAGGGTCTGGGTCGGAATTCCCTCGGCTGCCCTGGCAGCGTGCGCGGCTCTGCCGGCAGGGCGGGAGCAGAGCAGATAACGGGATTGTTCCGGGGGAGATAACGGGGCCGGGATCGTTCCCGCAGCGCTTCCCAAGGACACGCCGGGGCCCAGAGCCCAAACAGCTCCGGCTGCCCAAGGACACGGCCCCGGAGCCGCTGCCCCAGCTGGAATTGCCTGGAAGCAGCAGCAGCTCAGGGCTCCCCATCCCGCCACCATCCCCGATCCCTCCTTGTCCCACCCCAAAACCCCACCTGACCCCGCCTGACCCCAAGGACGCTCGGGAGAGGCTGAGTTTTCCAATGTTTTATTTGTGTTTTGAGATTACAGAGTCTTTATTGCTGATCTAATACAATCACTCAGACATTAATATTTAAAACATCCTTCTGAAATGTTACGGTTGCGACGTTTTCGTTTCCTCACTGCTGATGACGAGTTTTGTCTTATTATTATCTCTAAAGTTCAGAACAGAATTAATTTCCTTTATGCGATTTTGCTGGTGTTATACCTAAAATCTCTTTTTTCCTAAGTCTTGAAAAATGTGTTACATTAAAAAAAAAAAAAAAGATGAAAGAAACCAAACCCCATTACACGTTTAATTTAGAGATGATCATAAGATATGATTCCAGGTTGATTAGGAAAAAAGCCAAGCGAGCCAAAAAGCTTTTACAGGAGAAGCAGAACATGGAGAAGAGCTTTAAAAATCGAGGTGGGAAAAGCCAGTTGGGATTTCAGTATTAATATATATATTTATTTTTTTTCCCTTCCTGTCTACCTGGAAGATAAAGGGGGGTTAAAACTGGGCACGAAGGGATCGGGGCTGTGCAGAGCAGGCACGGGCAGGACGCAGCTCTGGGGATCAGAGGGGTTGGGATGAAAGGGGCTTTTCCAAAAGGGGCTTTTCCAGGGGGAAGTGGCTGTGCTTGGGCTGGGAAGGGATTCCTGTTCTTCCCAAAGCTGCTCTGCCCCAGGGACCCCACGGCCACGTCTCACCTGGGCCAGGAGCAGCTCCCGCGCTCCCAGAAAACAGCAGGGGCTGACACAGACCAGGATCCAGCCCGGGGAGAAACACCTGGGTGGGATGTTTCAAATTGCTCAGGGGATTCTTCCCAAAAATCTCAGGATCTGGGTAAAATGAACGAGCAGAGATCATTTTGAGTCTGTGCTTAGCGATCAGTCTGCTGGAAGCTTCTCAAGGCCTGAAGGTCTCCTCAAGGCCTTCACAAAGCCCTGACGCCTTCCCAAGGTCTCTTCAAGGTTTCCTCAAGCTCTTCTCAAGGTTTTCCTTCCTGATTTTGAGAGATTTCAAAGAGAAACTTGGAATAAGCCGGCACATGGGAACGTTTGCTCTGGAGATGAGCGACTTGTGGCCAACCTGCCTCCAAATCTCCTGAGAGCCGTGGGAAGGACTTGAGGCCGTAATTCCTCCGTTTTCCCTTCCTTGTGCGTGAACGAGCTGCCACAAAAAGTTCTCCATGATGGCAAAGAAGCCCAGGAGGACAAAGCACGGATCTGCAGCTGATGAGAGACTCGGGAACCAACAGGGAGGACAGAGGCTCCTGTGCTCACGGGGCTGGGCAGTTCCATTTCGGAAGGATCACGTTCTCCACGTGAGGGACAGAAGTGACTCCGCTCAGACACTTGGGAAGTCACCTTGCTCAGGGTCACGCTGTCCTTCGCTCAGGTGGGACATCCTGGGATTAAACAGGGAACTCTGGCAAATTTACTCTCCATCAGCTCTGACACGCCGAGGTGACCGAAGGGTTTTAGTGGTGCTGAGCTCTCCCCTCGCGCAGAACCCGTGCGGGTCGCTCCGGCGGACGTCTCGTACATTCCAAAGGGGAATTCCGGATTCATACAAATACGACCAGAAAATAAAACTCCCAAGGTTTCCAATGAGGACTGAAATTCAGCTGGAGAGGGACCTGGGTCCTCCCAGCCGGGCGGCCGGCGAGCTCTGCCTGGCGCGGCAGGAGCCGCCGGCGCGGCAGCAGCATCGGTGGGCGAGGCCCTTCCAGCAGCGCTGGGAACACGACTTTGGTTGATCCAGAGAGGTTGGCACTCGGAACGACAGCAGCAGGAAAGCGCCGCGGGGCCGTGCCCGGGGGAGCGGCGCCGGCTCCTCCGCGCTCGGGGCTGCCCCCGGGCACAGCTCCGGGCGCTGCTAAGGCGAGGTTCCCCGGCTGGGCACGGCCCCGGGCACTCCGGGGCACACGGAGAGGCTTCTCCAGCCAGATTCCCGAGGCGGCTCCCGGCCTGGAGCCGAGGAGGATCCCGGTTCTGTTCTCAAAGAGCCAGAGATCCCCCGGCTGCCGGGCTGGAGAAGCGCTGGGGCGTGGAGGAAACCAAAAGCGACTCCCAGGCCGGGTCCCGCCGAGCGGGGGGTGAGCAGGGATAAGGGAACATTCCACAGCTCGATTCCAGCAGCTTCCTCCTCGCCTTCCCCGTCCTCCCAGCCCCGAAAAAGAACGAACCCAAACAGAAAAATGAAAAGAACGGAAAGAAAATCCAGCGTCTCCCAGTCCCGCGGCAGGACGAACACCAGTGGCAGAGGCCACGTGAACAGTATTCTAATTTAATAAATAAATAACCTAAAACACACTGTCGACTATGGCAGCAAGCCCGGCTCTAGCGTGGGAAGCTTGCGTGGTTTCATCCTGTACAGTAGTTGAGAAAGACTCGGGTGCTTGTGGCGGTTCCTCGCGATTCTCCGGGGCGCGGCGGCAGGAACTCAGTATCTGGGAAAAGGAGGAAAATGGGGTTTGGTGAGCGGGGAAGGGAGGAGAAGCTGCCCTGGCATCCCCACGGTGGATTCTGGGAGGGGGAGACGCCAAGGACAGAAATGGCTGAGGAAGGGACTCGGTCCTCGCTGCCTCCGAGGTGCCCACGGGAAGTTGGAGGGGTCGTGGCTCCTCCTCTGGGCAGGGAATTCCCTGAGACCCTCAATGGATCCCAACCTCTCCAGGACAAACCTCACTCCCCACAAGGCTGGGCCATGCCAGGCACAGAGAACTGAACCAGAGGGAATTCCTCCACAGCCACAGGGAAGCACCAGGATTTTGCAAGGAAAAAAGCTCAGGATTGGGAAAACCCAGTGATCCCCAAACTGGGAGTGTTCTGGTGCTCTCTGCCTGCCAAGAAAATCTCTTTTCCTGCAGGAAAAGGCTCTGGGCTTCACCCTCCCAAGCACTTTTGTGCAAAGCCATTTCATTTTCACAGTGGAAATCCATGGCAGTGCTGGCTAAAAATGTAGAAAGGGAAGCGATCCAGGGCTCCTACTGAAAATTATTATTATTTTGGGGATCTGCCCAGCCCGTGCTCAGGAAGGAGCCGTGGAGCTGAGCCCAGGGAGCAGCCCCGGGGCCGAGGCCGCTCCGCGCCACCTCATCCTCCGTCAAACTTTAAAAATAAACCTGCCACCGAGCCGGTGGCATCGCGCTGGCATCTGCCACGTCTGGGTGACAGCTGCTGCCACGCACAAAGGGCTCCTGTCCTGCCGAGAGCCGCTGTCAGGGCTCCAAGTGCACCTTCCTGCTGCCTGCACCGGGACTCAGCAGAGAGACCTCGGAATCATCTCAGGGAATGGGTGGGGTTAAAGCCCAGGTGTCCCCCACACCGGGGCACGAGCAGAGGGCTGGGAGGGGACAGGGAGGGGACAGGGAGGGGACAGAGGGCTGGGAGGACACTGGGAAGGGTCAGGGCTGGGAGGACACTTGGAGGAGCAGAGGGGTGGGAGGGCACCAGGATGGGACAGGGCTGGAGGGCACCAGGAAAGGTCAGGGCTGGGAGGGCACCGGGAGGGGACAGGGCTGGGAGGGCACACAGAGGGCACTGGGAAGGATCAGGGCAGGGAGGGGACAGAGCTGGAGGGCACCAGGAAGGGTCAGGGCTGGAGGGCACCTGTAGTAGTTGGGTTTGAAGGGTCCGTTCTTGTTGAGCCCCAGGTACTTGGCCTGCTCGTCCGTCAGCTCCGTCAGGTGCGCGTCGAACGTGGGCAGGTGCAGGCTGGCCACGTACTCGTCTGG